TCTTGTTAAGGACTGCAGGCAAACGCTTTAGAGTGACTACTACAGTAATCCTAAGAAGCTGACTTACCTGTGCTATTTAAGCAGAATTCCATATGTAATTCAAAGTGCCAGGCCCTTTACCAAAGGGGTGTCCACCAAGGACACTGAAAAAGGGATTGCACTTTTCGCTAGTACAGCTTTAGCTAAAGAAAACTTGTCATCTCAGAAGGTACACTAAGCACTCACTTCTTGGTAGTGCAAGCAGTATTCTGGGTGAAGGGACAGTAACTTTCCCTGTTTTCTACTTGGTTAATGTGTTTTGGGGTGTAGTCTTTTCTCCCTCCTTCCCCCCCACCCCCTTCTCCCACCTCTTGGCCTTTGGGTGAGTGGTTGTGGTGTTCAGCAGTGTCAGTATTTCTCTGATGCAGTGAGTAACACGCTGAAGTATTAACCTCATCTCGCACAGGCTAGTGCTAGTCCCAAAGGCCCACCGTCTTTCCCTGGGACACCTATCATGACCTCACCAGTGATGGGACCTCCGCCTCCACCGCCTGTTCGCTATGGACCACCTCCAGCTCCTCTCCGTGGGCACTTTGGGCCTCGACCTCTTCCTGTGCCCCTAGGTACAGTTGTGTTGCCATGTGCTGAAACTTAACTTTTCCCACTGTGCTTCTGGGAAGCCTGCCACGGATCTGAGATCTGCCATCCGTTAGCACACAGCATCCCCACGTGGCATGGGGTCTAGCTGTCTTGCTCAGTGAGCTGGGACCGGTGCATTGTTTCAAGCCTCCTTAGTGCCAAGGTGTTTTTTTCCTTGTTCAGTCTAAAATGGAGACCAGCAGCCAGGTCACTAGAATGTAATTCATGCTATGTGACAGTGACACCCACCTCAGAGCTACTCCAAAAAATGAGGAAGGAGTCGGGAGCTTCACTGTTTAGGTTAAAGCAAGATGTCATTTAAGTCTGTTTTCCTGTCCTTTCCTTCTAGTTCGTGGTGCTCCCTTGCCACCTCCAGCTGCCAGAGACTTCTTACCTGGCCCACCCTTAGGAATGAGAGATCTGCCTCCTGGCCCACTACCGCCTCCTCCAGACCCAAGAGGCTATGGACGTGGGCACCCTCCTTTTCGACCCCTAGGTCCTCCTGGCCCAAGAGATTATCCTCCAGGCCCACGGCTCCCCCCGCCTGGTTCAAGAGACTATACGCCTTCTCCTAACAGAGACTTGCCTCCATCGGGACCTAGAGACTACCCGGCAGGCCCTCCACCACCACCACCGCCAGCAGGCTCAAAGGACTACACACAGCCTCCAGCGCAGAAACCCTAACTGCAGCCTCCAGTCAGCAGCTCAATGGAATGGACTCTAGCGCACTTCCTGCGGTCAGGATTTTAGAAAATGGTTCTCTGTTTGAAGCCATTTGTCTCATTTCAATATATTTCAGCTTTTGCGGGATTAATTTTTATCCAATTGCTACAGACATCTTATGTGCATTTATGATCACCTTAAACTCATCCATCCTCTTGGGCTGCAAGAACCTTTTTGTGATGGACTTGAACCTACTCTAAACGTGCAATAGAAAGGAAGTACCTGTGTGGCTAGTTTTAATTAAATGTAGCCTCTGTAACCAGTTGGTGAATGAACTAATTTCGTGACAAATGTAAATCAAATCATTTCCTGTGGAAATAATTTTTAAGTAAAATGCTCTCCTACCTGCCTTCTCCATCGCATCATTAAGCTGCAGTTATTGTAGGCCAGGGGTTTACATGAGGACTGTGAGGTGGTGTTTTTTGGTTTTTTTTTTAATTTTAAAAAAAGATGTCTGGTCAGAGATCAGAAGCACAAATGACACTGTATTCAAAGGAAAGTTATAATAAAAAGCAAAATGCCTTTTGCTAAACCCTGAAGGCTTTGTTTCAGTACCATTTTTTGCTCAGAAAGGTTCAGTGCTACAGCTGTCACAGAGTTCTGGAATTGAATCGAGGCTGAATAACTGCTGCCGCTGCTGCAAGACTGACGACTGCCTTACCCTCATGCTGAACTGCTCTGGCACGTTACAGACTTGCTTCATGTAATGAGGACAAGGGGGGGCTACGGCCCTCCTTAGCCGAAGGTCAGCACAGCGCTGGAAACCCTTATGGGGTGAGGTTAGTTTGGAAATCATAGGTGAGGGCTGCAGGAATCTAGAACCTAAGAAAATTCATAATTGCTTTCTCCTGCTGAGACAGGCTTGCAGCATTAAGCAAGGTTTGAGAGCCAGGTTTTCATCTTACTCAGCATTTAAGACCAATTCTGCTTCCTTGGCAGAGTAGGGCTGTATTTTTATAGCCTTTTTCACTTACATTAAAAAGAAAAAAATAGCTTTCCATAAAGCAGAGTGGGTTTATGTAAACCATATGAACCTGTATTGCTTTGGATCAGTTTGCATACACAGAACACTGGATAGCTTTAAAAACACACCCTACATTTGTAGGTGTTCAAAGATGTCCCTGGACATAAGTGTTAACATAAGGATGAGTATGCAGCATTTGGCACAGCAGGCCACTCACTTATCTAGACACTAACGCTTTTCAGACGTGCTCTGTACAAAACTAAGCCTTAATGAAGAAAAAAAAGGGAAGAGAAAACAACTAGGAATAATAAACCCCCCTACTGGAAGGCCATTACAGCTTTACTGCCAGAGTACAAGCAGCCATTAAACGTGCCATCTAGGTGTTACAGTCTTACAGTACAAGTGTTAAGCTTTAGATTTAAGATGAAAGACAAGCTGCAACATCACTAAAGCATAAAACAATACAAGAGCTTGTGTTGTGGGGAGCAGGAGTCCTTTCAGGGAAAGACAATTCACAGAAAAGAACTGAAGGATAGAAGCAATTTTAAAAATGGTATTTCACACTCTACAGACATTCATTAACAATTAGTTAAATACAAAGCTCTACTTGTGTATTTAACAAAAAATACTTCCAAGTTGACATTGCATATAACTGGAGTTAATACAGACATCTACAAGCTGGGGAAGAGTCAAGGTAAGCAGCTGAAATCATGGGCTTGTTATGCAAGTGAAAGCTTCAATTTGCATAGTGGCCAATGACGCACATTGATGAACATTCATATTTGAAAGTTGGGTTCTCCCAATTTGGAATCTTTCTTTCCCCAACACCAAGCTTTGTCACGCTTCATGTCTCCTCCCTTGCCCACCCCAGCTATCCTTCACAACTTAAAGCTGGGTGGAATCGCTCTCTGGCAGCAGCAGGAGGGGACATACCCCTGGCGATGGCAGGGCCAGGACAGAGCCCCGGCCTTGTCCCTTGTGGGGCGAGACGGGCTGCACGCCTTGCAGGGAGAGAAAGAGACCCGAGGCAGGCAGGGAGCAGTGGCAGTAACACACTGCCGCCCCGGCTCAGGTCTGGCTGCAGCCATAGACCGATGCTTTGCTCCATCCTTCCACAGAGTTCAGAGCATGATTTTTATTTATTTTTTCAGAACATACATGGCCCCCTTTTGTCTGGGGCTGAGAGTGCTGCTTTCAGATGTATTGCTGTAACTCCTAGGGGTATCTTTTCAGGGCTTGATAGTGAATGTATCAGATGTAATACCATTGGGGTACTGTAAAGACCCGTAAACAGGAAAATTCAATTGCACTTTTTCATTTCCCCTTCCTCTAACCAGTAGTGGAATTTGAAGAAGTGTTGCTGACTTTTGTCATAACACTCTACATAATGTCATCCTTAGTTATACCAGAACAGAGGGAAGGCAAGAAGATTAGGACATTCAAAAATAAATTTTTATCCTAATCAATACGGTAAAGCCAAAAACGCTGAACACCTGCCTGCAAATATCATAAGGAAAAGTAACATCCCATTAAAGCACAATGCAACATTTTGGGGTTACGTGACAGAGAAGAGGAATCGGTGATATATCTGCACTCAGACTGTTTAAAATAAACCAGTATTTGACGCTATTTTGGGAGCTGGGTCTTCTGTTAGCAAAGCAGAGTATTTAGGCACTAGTTAGATACGCAAGAAATATATCAAACCTGAAAGTATTGTATTAAATATCCACGCAAATATATGAAAGATTTGACTGGGTTCTACTTCTGTCCCTTTATTAGGTCAAAAAGTGAATGCAAGTGTGTCATAATAAGCCAATGTCCTGCAGCTTATTACACACCAAAAATATAGAAAATAAATGATAATCCTACTTACATAAAAAGGTAATTTTTAGAGTAAGTTTCCAGACTTGCACAAAATATGCAGAAAACTGCATACAATCAGTTTCCATAAGAACAGCAGTTTCATGTAAAAGGTGGGTCAACCTGCTAGCCAGGTCTGCTTTACCAAAAGCTCTGGAAATTTGATGCTTGAACACCGAGGGGCCTGTCCCGCTGTCACTGCAGTGGTGGAACACCCACTGCCGCGAGGCCGAAGCCCTGGAGAAAGACTCCCTGTCCCCCACCCACCTCTGCAAATTGCTCCGTGACGAGATACGGAAAAAATAGCTCTATTAGGGAGTAATGGTGATCTAAAGGATTGTAACATGTACTGTACCCAAAACTCAGCACGAGTGGATCAGGCAAGGCTGTTAAAATCATAGTTCAGTGGTCTCATCTGCAGTTGTCCTCCTCCTGACCCGACCAAAGCAGAAGAGCTGACCGAGGTGCTCTTCTGTGGCCACCCAACTTGACCCAGCATCCTCCTCTCTCCCATTTTAGATCACTTGCAGTACCTCAAGCTCTTTCCCATCCCACCTCCTCTTTATCCTGGCCTTCTGCCACCCAGCCCGCTACAGAGGACTCCGAAATGCAGATGAGAGGAACTACAATAGCACAGCGAGTGTAAACAGTTAATAGGCCTGCCACGTCTTTATTGCTACAGGTTTGGCAAAGGGGCAGTCTCCATCTTTGGGTGGAGTTTGAGGCAAAAGGATAATAATGGTTAAGATAAAAAGTGATGAACAGCAAAATTAGGAAAAGCAGTCAACGTATTTCAGGGCTCTCAGGAAAAAAAAAACCAAAACCAAAACTAAACAAAAACCTAGATCAGGAAGGTACTGAAAAAAAAATCTTGCAGTTGAATGGCCGGCTTGCCTCTGACCCTGAAGTAGTGCTGTGCAGCGTGGGATGGTCCCGTCTGACCTACTGGCGTGAATACAGTCGCTTTCCTGCCCCTCGAAGGCTAAGGCTACTACACACAGCTACCATGACTCGTGGTTCAGTTCACAGGAGTCTCACAACTCGGGTCATTCCTTGTGCAACGTTTGATGGAGGTGAAGGTAAAGTGGTTTCTTGGTCAACAGCTGCAATTTCTTCCTTTTAAAGTCAGTGGGTTTTTTGTATCTGTAATCACAGGAAAGTAAGTTAATCCAGGTGCCAATGGCTGCGCAGGAAGATGAAAGCACACTAGAAAGCTTGTCCTGTACAGCTCTTATTACTGTAATCTTTTAAACACATCTGACAAGACTTACTGGAAGTGACAATAATGAGTCGATTTACAGGAAGAAACTTAAACCGGTATTTTCTATGGATTATTATTTTAACAAAACAAAGATTTCAATTTTTAAATGAATGTAAGGATTTCGTAAGGAGAATTCCCAATATAATAATCTGGATTGTAGAGGATGCAGTATCCATTACTCGGTGCGTCAGCAGCACTCCAGCTAGCACAGGCTAAGTATAAGCACTCTTTACGTAGAGATGCCCAGAATTACAAGGTTCAGCCTCTTCCTGAAAAAAAACCCACTCAAAAACCTCACTCAGACCTTCAGCCACACAGCAAGGGTAGGATGCACATCATAACTTCTGCAGCATAACTGCCTAATCTATTGCTTTGTATACTTAGAGCGGGGAGAACACACAACCACCCAACAATGCTTTGAAACGTTCATAAAATTCAACTGCAAATCAGTATCCCATGGCTCAAATTAGATTTCCTTTACAGAAGTTCTGTGCCAAAAGATTGTGAGAGTTGATTTATTTATTTTTTTTTTAAATATACCTGATCTGACACTCAAGCTAAGGTAACATTAAAAGCTCCCATACAGAATGTTAATTTCATACAAAATTTAGTTACCAACACCAGCGTTTTATTTGGAAATAGCCTAGTTTTTGAGGAGGGTCTCTAGCCATTTTATTTCCCTAAAAGCATTTTATCTTCTCTTCTTTATTAAAAATAGAATATTCCTTACAGAAGTCAATCTAATGAGTCCAAGAAACCTTCCTTGATGCAACAAGCCACACATTGTAACTGAACTCTAGTTAATTTCCTCTGTCATTGGCATCTATAATTGCAAGTCACTTACAGTTCTATAACAATTGCCCCAGGTTTAATTTCATCCATCTCCATGAAAGCAAAGCACTTGGTGCTAGTAAACCTCTTCTTAGGCTTGTAGTGTTTGAATTCAAAGAAAATAGCTGCACCTAGAGTGGAAAATGGTTTAATAGAAAAGTTACCGATTATGGCCAACAGTTATCTGAAAACTTATCTGCTATTAAGATGCTCTATGTATATTGGAGGGAAATATCTCCAACACTTCTGTTATTTACTCAAAAGCTATACCGCGTTCTTACAGTGCTCGCCACACCCACAAGGGCTTGTACTCTTCACTCAATTATTCATATCCAGGTAACAGTTTGTCTGATGACTAAGGTGGTGATAAGACAGCTGAATATCTGTGTAGTACCACAGACTGCTGCATTTTTATCTCCTTTCATTCCTCCCTCCTCTGCAAGTCATCACAATGACCCATTTGAAAGAGACAGGATGCAAAGGTCTATTTTTATCCTCGTCTGGATCTCGAGCCCTGCAGCAGCGGCTCAGGCACGGCCTGCTCATTCGATCCGGAGCAGCCAGTGTCTACACTTTCAAATCCCCTGGGCCCCGTGTCAGGTCTCTGATACCACATACCTTTTGTTAGTTTTTCAATGTGTTTCTGAATCTCAATGTCCACATTAAAATGGACATATGTGTCCTCCTTCCTCAAAGCCACAGGAGTATCTTGCACAGGAGTCAGATCTATCCCGTTCAAATCTGCAGGAAAGAAAGAGCATGAGAATGGCAGAAGCTTCTCAGAATTTAAGGTCCTGCTTTAAGAGTTTCATGAATCACTCCTAATACTGCCCCAAAAAGGTAATGCATACCTGGATCTTCCCTCTCATCAGGCAATCACACCCCTTCACAGTCAGTGAATTTTCTTTTTGATTGCAACATGAAAGCGGGTAAAGTTCTGACAATATTTAAGATGAAAATTTGGAATTATCCCTCTTTTTATTTTTAAGAGCATGCTTCTTTCTGCTGCCAGCAAAGGATTCCATTCCCTCTGCAAGCAGGACTCCAGCAGAACCAGCAGAATGGGATATGCACCAAAGGCTGCCCTCCACACCAGGCCTGTGGGGCAGAGCTGGCAGGGCTTACACAAGCTGTACACATCCTGCTTTGCTGCCTAGACTCAATGTGCATTATTCCTCTTGGTTTTTCCCCAGGCAGAGGCACGGTAGGGCCGTGGGTTGGACTCCAGCCCTCAGCGCTGGCCACCAGTTGTGCTGCTCAGGCACAGCCACCACAGATGATATTGTTTCTCACTAAGCCTCCGCTGTTCACATGAGTACATTTGTCCTCTTACTCCTTTCTCCTCTCATTAGTGATCCCTTTCCTTCAGGCGGAGCAAAGTCGCTAATGACGTGGCCAAGATTACAAGGACACAGCGCATGCATTGTGCCCGGGGCACAGGCTGAGGCTGGGGCCCTGGAGCACCACTGATGCACTTCATCCAGGGAGTGGGGTGGGACCACCAATGGCACATCAGGAACAAACCTCTCTTCAAACCTGCAGAAGAGCAGCCTGGTATAGAACCAAGGGAAAACGATACTGAGCATCTTCAGACTCCTAATAGGGACAAAATGACTTTTCAGAGTTACTTTTCCTCACTAAAAATCTTGAGAAATAAAGTATAAAAAGTCACCATTAGCAGAGTAGGTGATAGCCCGCACCCTCCCCCCTGCTTCCCTTTTGATCTTATTTTCTACAGCAGTACTTGGCAGCCACCATTTATAGGAGCCTGTACATAGAGAGCCACATGTTCACAGAAAGACTTGTTGGGAAAGTAAGTAAGCCTAGCAACCTACAGTCTCCCCTTCGCTCCAGAAAGGAAACGAGAGCTAGCTCAGAAGGCAAGCAAGAGTTTTAACAATACGTAATAAGTTAAGAAAGACAAACATTTCAGTGGCAATGAACAACGAATGCTTTACAAGGTCTGATAAGTTCCAGGATCCAACGTTAGAACCCTGTTAGGGTTGGTATTTTCCTGTTGGCCAAGAGAAACTCAGCATGAAAGAATTAAATCTGATGAAACCCACACCCATCCAGCTAGCCCCCCCACTGAAGGCACCCATCCCTAGGCTTTCTGGCATACTAGAGGCAAAGAAAGATCCACAAATGACTAGAGAAGTGAGGCCCAAAGAATAGTTACACAATCTAAAAATGATGCTGCAAACCTAAGGCAACACCATAAACAATACTGCACATTTCCAAGACTGAAAACACAAAGAGGCAGTTGTATCAGCCAGGTAAGGCAAGAGTCATGCTCTAGCTTCCACCCCAACCAGGTGAATGCCTTAAAGGTCCAGAGAGAAGTGGAAGGTTTTCACCGTTGGAAAAATCATCACAGAAGCATGATTAGATAAAAGCTTTCTATCTATATATTTTGGCAGGTAACACTTCAGAACATCACTGGGATCCAAGTGACGTTCAATACTGTGACCCTTAGTTCTGCCAAAGAACTTGTCTGGTGGAGGAAGCACCTGATCACACATCTAACAAGTGGTTTATGCCTATGTTTGGCATCCAATAGCATATCTAAAGAGGAAACATACAAGGTTGCCATCACAACTGAAAATAACTAGAGGTTGTTGGCTCAGCTACAAATTTTTATATGATAATAAACAAAAAAAAATAAATCATATACCTCAAGATTGTAAAGCTAAGCAGAAGCAAAGCAGGGCAAGTTAAGGGTAAGCAATTCAGACCACAGGGGCTTCCTGCTAAGAAATGCAAAATGGGGAAGAGGCAGATGCTCCCACTAGAAAGAGCCTGAACACCTAAAATCTCTGCTTCAAGCAAAAGACATCAACCATGTTGTCACCTGAAACAGCGAGAAATACTAATGTTGCCTGTCCTGAATTGACAGAGGAAGAGGTTTTTCCAGATCCAGGGAAGCTCTCAGAGGGGAAGGTTGTTAGCCCACCAGGCTTTGGCTGAAATATTTCACCGCCAAAGCTAAAATCTATTTTATATTTTATTTCACTTGCAAGCTTTGCTGCCCAGCTTCATACCCATTCCTCTAAACCCTAAGCCTCGGTAAGATGATCTTTGTTTTACTAAAAACTTAGTTTAATGACAGGGCAAGAATGGAGCCAGCGAACTGTGGTTCACCATCGCCAGAAAGCCCAGAGACCAATATGTGTTGGGGAGTACAAGCAGTCCAGAGATCTGTACTGAAGAGTCAGCTGAAGAAGCTGGAACAGACAAGTACAGTCTGCCAAGTCACTGATGCTCAGCTCCCAGCATGGGGAAGGCACCCTGGAGTGCACAGAGAAGCATGTCTTCTGCAGTGATTCGCCTCCCAGTATCTCTCAAATACAGAATTTTTCCACCCTTGATTAAAGCAGAAGCCTTAAGTCCACAACAGAAAATGCAAGTACCAACAAATATTTTTCCCAGCAGGCTGAAAAAAAAATCAATACAGCTTTCAGAAAATGCACTCTCTCCAAACTAGAAATGAGGAGCCAGGAACAGAAATCATTACCCTTTACACTGACTGTGATGTAAGGATCAATGCACTGCCCAGCATCTTTCAGACCAATTTTCTCTATGTTGATGGTGAGTAACGTCATCCCGGGTTCAGATGGCAATCTGGGTAATAAAGTACCTGGAAAGAGTAAAGCATATTATTAACCCTTTGTGTCATCTTACAGCAGAGGCCTTGCTTATCCCATCATCTCTCATGGAAGATGCTGTTCTCCTTAGGGGGTTCAAAGCCCAAGGATTCATAACCCAATAGCACACAGCACTATGGGAAAGTCTGTGTGCACAGACACACAACATCATTTGACAGATTTTAAAGCGCACAACAATAACAAAAAAACAGGACTGCCTCAAATCAAATGAATTAATAGAAAACTAATGCCATAAGAACAGAGAAGAGCTTTTTTTAAAGTGTTCTTTTTTGCTCTCGTGCAGAATAACTCATTCATGGAGCTCACTTTACGTTATTTTCAAGGATTAAATTTGAGAGGCTGGATTCAATCTGCAGTTGCAGGAAGTTCAGACACTTAATCAGGAGTCCCACCCCATTGAACATGACTTGGCTTCACGTTGAACATTTAGACTGGGAGAATAAGGATGAAAATGGCATTGTTGCAAATCCCACTGGACATGAAGGAACCAAAAGAGAGATACTTAATTATCTAAGTTCTACTGGCCTCTACTTAAAGGAAGAAAAAAATAAAATAAAAATAGTGGTTGCATCCCCCAGGTTCCCTTCTGCCTTCAGGAAGGAGTTCTCAGCTTTGCATCAAGAGCATTTAGCATCAAAACTTTGTGGTCAGCGTAAATGAATCCTCACAGTGCTGAGGAAGACAGCACAGCTGGCAAGAAATCCAAACTGTTCAAATTCACTAAAAGCCATGAGATTCAGCAACAACAGAGTAGGTTTCTTCATGCTGATTTTAGTGAAAACTGGCAGGCTTCAAGCTTCTCTCCTGTATTAGATGGATAAGCACCAAGACAGAAAATGCTTAGACTGATGAGCAAGTTTGACTTAAAGTTTTGGTATTCTAATTAAAAAAATTGTTATCCCAAGGCTTGAGATCTAAACAAAGCAATAGTTTCCTTTGGCAAGTGCAATATGGGTTTTCCTTGATACTTCCCCCCCCTCCCCCCCATTAATCTGCTTGAGGAGCTGGAGAACCAAGAAGGTTTTGATCTATTAGAGAGACTGGCTTTGCAAGAGGGGACCATGTATTCTGCTTGTAGAACTAGAGCCACAGCTTCACCAAGATTTCATGAGCACTCCCACACCCAATCCCTCTTTCAGGATCATCAGCAAGCCTTGAATTAACATCTATGATGCAGTACATTTCTGGATTTCCTATCTTGGCCGCTAGCAGACTCATGACCTCCACGGTACCAAATCCGCAGACACTGAACAACATAGCACAGCAGAATTCGACGCACCATTCTGAAGTAATGGGGCAGGCTTCTCATTAGTGTGAGAAATGTTAAAAAGCAAACTTATTAGAGAGCACCCATTTCTGCAAAGCAGCCCACACGCTCTAGTCAATCTTGCTGTCTCTCTTGAACAGATGTTCAAAGACAGAGCTCTTATTTCAATCTAAATGAAGGTAGAAGCAAGCCCATCTCTTCAGCACAACAGTTTGCTCTGCCATCTTTCAGTTGTTTCCTAAAAGCAGCATACACCCCAAGAGCCAAGAACAACCGTAACCTTCAGTTTTCCTATCTGTCACTCAAAGGGACTGAATGATGGAATACTTGACAGAAAAATCACCAAAAAGATGCATCAGACTGGCATTTATTATAAAAATAGTGGCTTAAGAAAAATCATTCTGTTCTTGAAAAATGCTTTCCAGAATGTGTAAAATTGCAGAGTTGCAATGAAGAGAAAAGCCAAGCCCACTTCCAGCAGGTAAGAGAACAGTAGGACAGATGGTGTCCAAGAAACACCGTTTTCTTTCTGCCTCAGCAGGAGGAACAGCCAAGCCAGCAATGGACTAAAGCAGCTGACTGTAGCCCGTGTCACGCAAGCCACAACCACCCAAGCAGGTCTTTCGCTGAAGTCTCTCTAGTCATTTCACATAGGAGCCGTTAGCTGCCAGTAACTCTACTAGGGCTGGGCGTGTGCTGCCAGTCTGTCAGCATGGTTTGGGCCCGTTAGCCTTCAGCAGGCTCACACTGAGGCTTTTCATGAGAAAACTGCCAGCCATTTCACACACAACCACAGGGCATCAGTGCCAGAGGGGGAAGGGAGCACCTACAAATGAAATAAGTGTCCTCCTACAAGTGCATTTCAGATACACAAAGGTGAGCCAACCCAACAGCTTGCTGCCACCAAGACACAGGCATTCATTCTCTCCGTTCCCAAACCCCGAGTCAGAGAAAGGGGAAAAAGCGACAACGTCTCCTGCTGCGTTCACAAATGGAAATGGTTCACAGAAGAATCCATTGCCAGCACAGCACTGGAATAAAGTAGTATATAACCGGGAGGAAGGCAGGAAACCTTTGCTGTTAGAGGCAGCAAGCCATTGGTCAGTTCAGCTCCATACAGCACAGAAGTCTAACTACATAAGTACTCTTTGTGCAAGGTTTCCCATAAAACGCGTATTCCACTAAAGAAAATCTAGCTCCAGCTACCTTTGGCTACAATGCAAGTCAGAATGTCTTTATTAGCATAGTAGGACTTCTAGAGAGCTATGTCAGGTATGTCACCAAATATGACCGTCCCTTTTTCTGGTACTGAAGGCAAATGAGGATCAACACATGGATGCCTAGTACTATGACTGTTACCAAAGATTGTATTTTGAGGGTTGAAACTAAGAGCTGAACAAAGAACACCGCAGCTACATGAATATGATCAAAGAAATAACTGTATATACTAAAAGGTTATCATACCTTCATTGGCTCCTGGGTTAGATGAATGGTGCAATGTGATAACGATGAAGCCATGCATGTAGAAGACAAGACCATGATCAGTTAGACAATAGTTATGCACTATGGATTAAAGGCATACAGAAGCAAAGAGTGCAACACGGTTCTATCAATTCAATATGGAAAGTCCACTTTACTTATAAGGCTCACCCCAGAAGGCTGCAACTGCTTTTGTTTAAGCCTCATGGCCCAGAGAGAGAGCAACAGACCAAGGTAAGAAACACCACACTAATTTACATTCAATGGAGAAACAAGATCTGTGTTCAAGTAGTACGAAACTGTCTTAGGGGGTTAGATTACTGTAGCTATGGGGAAGTTCACCTTAATGCAAAAAAATTCAGAAAAGTCAGATATGCAGTTTATTAAGTAGACGACAATGTAAAATATCAGTAAATTCAGGAGTTGCTCTCACCTCCTCTTAAAAGCATGGTCTTAATGAGGAATAATTCTGTAAGAAAGTATATGGCCCAAACCTCTCTTTTTTCCAATTTGGCTACCCTACTTCTTTGAAAATGATATAATTGTAAACTCAATCTGACTATCATCAACTTAGACTCTTTCTTAAGCAGATATACAGCTTTTATGTCCACTATATGCATACAGCTCTAATGGGTTGCACAGAGGTAACTGTTGGCACTATGGTAGTGGTCACGGCCTTATTGATTTGCCACCATACCAAGAGCTACTCAAGGTCTCTCTGCTGTGCTTTGGACAAACAGAATGCATCTTCATAAATGGATTTATCATGGTGAATAACAAAGATCAAGATACTAACAATCAGCAATAAAATATCACAATATATTATAGCCTATTTGTGAGCTTAGCATAAACAACTGTAGACTATGCATATCTACATCAGTATAGCCTTCAGGGATAGTATCCAGTAGCATGCATTGGCTCACTTCTAAGGACAGAGATGTGTTTTCTCCAGGCATGATTAGTACAACACCCCAGCTCTTCCAACCATAATTCCAGTATTAGTTTCCCAACTTGTTATCTCCTTCCTGAAATACAAAGTTTGCCAACCTGCTCTGAAACTAGAAACTTGTTTCTTCTGCAAAGAAACTACACCAGGAACCAAAAGAAGCTCTGCTGGAACATCCTAGCCTTTTATCCGGTAAATTGGAGAAAGGTGAATTTACAGGAAGACCATCTCTAGAATCTGTAGGTATATCCAGTTCTACAATTGCTTTCATATGGATAAGGACTTAAGCTATGAAAACCAAAGCTACCGTCTCTTTATGCTCTCAGAGCCTGGTTTTAGTCTAAGCCATTGTCTCACCAGCTGATACAACACAAAAATAACCAGCAACAACTTACACATCTCTGGCATGATATGGTGCTCCTTGCTGGAGAAACACTTCCACAATTTACGTTTGAATGCATTTGAAACACTTCACATAGTACAGTTAAGAAAGTGCATGGAATGAAAATACTGAATTTGAACAAGGAATAAAGACTAATTATTTGAGGCAGATGGTACCACGCTCACAGGTTATCCATACAACTGTTTCGTAACAAGGTATTGTTTGCTGAGAAAACAAATCCACTGGCCACCTTTGTGGTTCTCCAATACAGCATTAGAATTTACATTAGCCCATGGCTCCTCATTCAAACCTTTCAAACCACAGGTGGAGAAAGGGGCTTCTGTAAGACAGAACTTACACATGCTACATAGGCTGCCATGGCAATGCTAGTGCCCCTACCTGGAACTCTAGCAGGAAAAGAGTCTGGAGACCCTGCTCCAGCTCCTCCTTCCTCATCATCCTCCTCAAACTCCAAGTGTTCCTCCTCTCCAGGTGCTAAAATCTTCCTGTAAAACATGAGAAAGAAGAATTAGATCTGGTTTTCATCACCTGGTTTTCAACTCGAAAGTCAGCATCTGAGTATAGAGCAGGGGCAACATGCTTTAATGTCATTTCATACTTCTTATTAACTACTACCTGTACCTGTAGACTCTGACAGAGATTGCAGGAGCTGAACCCAACAGAGAGCACAGAGTCTAAAACCAAGAGACAATACTGGAAATTTCAGAGAGATGTAGGGATGTACCGAGTCCTGATTTTACCAAAAGTGTGGGCTTGATTTTGAGCGGTACCTTAGACAAACAGAATTCAAAAGCTCTTTTATTAACCAGTTTACCCAAAGCAGTACAGCAAGTAGGTGGTTCTAGAAATTCTAGTGTTTCAGATGTACACCAGGTCCCAGGGTATGCTCCCTTTCAGATAGATACCTGTATGGGAAGTGACCCAATTCTCTCTTACCTGAGCGGAACAGGCTGAACATCAAAGGGGAACTCCTTATTGTAAGTGAGGATATTCTTTAAGACTGCAGAGAGGGGAAAAAAGTAAGAATCCATATCCATAAACAAGCATTAATTCTACTACTTTGCACAGGTATGTTCATTCTCACAGCATCTTCACACACACAAATAATATTTAAAAAATAATCAGATTATGCAAAAGAAATCTACCCTTCTCTCATATTTTAAACACCAGTACAGTCCTGATCAGAGCTAAATCACTATAGAATTCAGACAGGCTAACTGCAACTCCAGTACATAATCACCACCACACTTACATAGACAGGGAAAATAAACATGGCAATAACCAAAAGCATCACAACAAAAAGCTACAGGCCCCAAGGTAATGGTAGCAATCTATGGTGGCTACTGAAAGGAGGGTGGTGCTATTACTGGCATCAGCTCCAAACAGATTGAAGTCTCCAGAACTGACACACTTAAGCACACATGTAGGCTGCACGTTCAGACAGCCACCGTGGGAGTCCAAGCGTGCTGGTAACACATAGCTTAGTTGAGATTTCCTACTTCTTCATGCATGTGTTTTAGGGTTGGGGTTTTTTTTTGTTGTTGTTAGGGTTCTTAGTTCGTCTTTTTTTCCTGCCCTCAGATGGCTGGGCAGACTGGCAAAATTCAGAAGAGATACAGTGCAACATCTGAGCATCAAGCCCCAGAGACACTAACTACACTCTCCAGCATTTGGTGGAGAATGGCTTTGCTATTTGTATTGGAAACTTACTCAAGTTTCAGTAATCACAATTTTAGCTGTTATTTCCAAAAGCATTTAGGAGTAAAAGCAAAACTTACAAAAGCCTGTGAAAGAAATAAGCATTTCATGGCAGCTAAAGGGCCTAAAAATTTACAAGAGAACGCCTGCAGGGAGAGGCACTGTCCTACCAGACAATGAGTATCCCAGACTGGGTAAGGCGAAACAAGGTAGAAAAACTGAGCCCTCTCACTGAGCCTCACTTTGCAATAAGCCCTCTCAGAGCATGGGAAATCTCCCCTTTGGATGACTGAACGAGAACTAAACTGTTTTAAAATGATGTTAAGATTACACAAATACCCAAAGGTACTTAAATACCAGTTATGTTTAAGGAACCGCTGCCAGGCCCCTCTGTCTCTGCACACTCCAAATTCAGCCAGTGTAGGAGCGCTTCCCTGTCTGTCTTCATACTCACATCACTCAGCGTGGTCTCCATCATTAACTTACCAGACACCATCTGAATACTACAATGCATAAAGAATCCCTCAGGGAAACTATAAAAAAAAAAATCCCAAAAGTCTTTCCAGTCTTTGCTCATTCTGATATTTTTTTTCCCCGATTCCTGTACCGCCACCTGAGAGGTTAGGTACTGCCTGATTCCAGCTAGACGCAATACATAAATACATAGAAAGCTTCAAGTTGCCTTCAGTCAGAGATGTGACAGACAAAACTGATGCCAAGTCTCTCTCTCTCCAAACACTTCTGCTCCGAGGGATCAGTAATGCCAGTTTCAACACGGTCGTGAAGAATCACAGCCACTTCCCTACAGAAAAGCAGCTGATTAATAGCAGACAGTCACCTTCCAGCACAGCTGAAGTTCAGAAAAAGAAGGGGATTTTTATCACTCTCAGAATTCCCCAGCTCTTGGAGAACTACATTGTGAAGGAGACAGAAAGTGAAACTGCCCCAGGCAGAAAAATCTCAGTAAAGTGAGATCTCTTACAGATCAAGGCACGTTATACAGACGCAATAGAAATTACAGTAGTCCTTCCCCCATCTTCCAAAGGTTGGTAAGCACTAGATTCCTCTCTTTCCAATAACCGGTTTCTCTCACTACGTGTATGAACATCCCCTGAAAAAAATAACCCAACCTTCTAGTAATTCATTTCAGTCATCACTAGAGGGCACAAAATACTCCACCGCTACAAGCACAGGAAAAAGGCAAACGGTTTTACAGCGCCTAAAATCCCGATGCTGCCTGCAGGCAGAGCTGAGCGTACGCCCTCCTGCCAGAGCTGCAGCCACGCACCCGCCTGTTGGTACCAGACCTGCCCACGGGAGTACGCTGCCTTCAGATATCCTGGAGGTGTTGGTAACAAAGGTGATGCTGCACGTTTAGCTCGGAAACACTTCTGGAAACGTCATCCAGAATCTCTAGCCTTTTGCCACAGAAAGCTGTGGATCAAGTTTTTAAAAGGCCTTCAACTCTGTCTCATCACCAATAGCAAATAATTTAGTGAAGTTGTAATATGGCATTTTACTACAGGGCTCCTTTAAACATCAGGATAAAAAGTGGATCTACAGCACTCAGCCTGGTGAAATACTTATTCAAAGTCACTAAGAAAGAGCAAAGCAATAAAACAGCTACGCAACAATCATCCTCTGAGGAAAAGGAAAATCCTCTTTACATCTATCACAAGTGTGAGTTTCACTTGATTTAAAAAAACAAAACAAAAAAAACCCCAAAAACACAGATCACAGAAAAAAAAACATTAGGTTACAACAAACAGGAATCTCGCTTGCAATACTGCATAAGACACCCAAACTTTAAGAAGTTGGTTTGGGCTTTTTTGGTTTTAGTTTTGTTTTTGAAAACACACATCGCCTCTGGGAGGAAGAGCACCTCCCCTCTATAATGCGGCTGCTGAGAACACAATTCACAGAAAGTTCTCCACATGTGTAACTAATGGGCAGATCCCAGCATCGTGGCCTCCATTTATGTTGCTTTTCCAACAGAAATCTTTTTAAAATACTGTTCTGCAGGGTCTCATGCAGAAGCTGCCTTTGCTTTTGTGATGTTGGGCAATAATCGCATTGATTTTATCAGCAGTTGGCTCTCTCTTGAAAGAAAGAAATTAACATGAGCCATAAGACCAGGCCACACTAACTGGGTAAAGACCACTGTCCATAGAGATTTTTAGTGACAGCTTATGATACCTGTACTGATTTTTTTAAAATTTATTTATTTATTTTATATTACCAGGCTCCCCAGCACAACCCAGCATCTACTTCTCTTACGTTACATATACACCGAGTTTGAAATTAGTCGCTTAGTGCCTGCAATCATCACACACAAACACAGGCGCAGGGGATGTCCCAGCCTATTCATTTGTACTGTTTTATAACAGTGATATAAGCTTTCACAAGAAAAGGATTTGAAAGATCCAGTGTGTTAGCAATGATTTCACACAGTGTAGTCTCAAAAGAACTATTTGTATGTATGGACCCTCCTGTAATATTATTTTAGCACAAAAGACTTAGTGACAAATCCTATAAACAAACAAAACTAACCAACTGCTTCACTTTCCAAGCAGCGTGAAATGCAAGCTTAAGTAGGGAAA